GAAATTTTTTTGTATATACTTAGACTTAATTAATAAGTACTGACAGCTGGAATGTACAACACTTTCTGTCTTTTCTGCAGACAAAAACATTTTGAAACTAAATCGTCCCTATAGAAACATTCGAAGGAATAAATTATCTGCTCCAATCCGAGATGCGTGCAAAATCCACCCCGCATTAAATATGTATGTACAACGATGCAGATAAGACGCACCTGTAGTACATACGGTCACATAAGCTTCTTCTTCTAAAAAGAAAGATGGAAAAAAAGAGGAAGCAAGTGCGAAAGAGGGAAGACAAAACTCTATATAAGAATGAAAAAGGGGTAAGGCGAAATGAAAGGGAAAGACGAACAATCGGAGTTTTAACGGATAACATGAATTTTGTTTTCTCAGGATTTAAAGGAGTAATTCAATTTTTTCAAGGCATGATGTTGAAAGAGACTTATTATATTGACTGCACGGATCACAGTGATTTTTTCAGGTAATATTGGGTAAAAAGGGAGATTTTAATTCTTGAAAAGGGGATTTTTCAAAGAAAGGAAAAATTATTTTATTAAAATGTAGGGGAGACTGGGGTAAACTCGCTCACAAGGTAAATCCGCTCACTAGCGATTTGACGCTATGAACTCAACTTAAAATGGAGATATTGGTACTACACGGAGAAAAATAAATAGTAATAATTATACTATTTTCGATGAAAAATTACTATTTTCAAGTAGTAATTTTGAAACTGCTCAAGAAATAGTAACTTTTGTTTCGTTTTCAAACGATTTTTACTTTTTTAAAAAAGTATAATTTACTTCAAGGAATCTAAATTTTATTAAAAGCCGAGTAATATTTACAATGTCCCGAGCAATTAATACTCTAAGCGAAGCAACTTTTATTACGAATCAGAGCAATTACACAGTGCAACACATAAAATGTGCACTAAGTTTTGAATTCAGTTTCTGAAAGTACTTATCGAAACTAGCAAAAACTTATTTCAGTTTTGCTAGATTAGCTTGGATTTAAATTTTGTCGACATTTGAATTTTTTTTTTGAATTTTCACATTTTTCGGTTTTCTGATACGGGCGGATGGGAACACTGGCTATTCAAAGTTTATTAAAAAAATTGGCAATGATCACAATTTGAAAAGCAATAATCTCTCTTTAATTTCTGACATTGAAAAAAAAATTTAGTCGAAAATTGTTCGAGTTATGAATTTTTTTTGTAATTTTTCAAATTTTTCGGTTTTTCTAATACGAGCGGGTGGAAACGCTGCCCAGTAAAAAAAATTCGATACACGGACCGCGAAGTTCGTATACGAGCTCGGTAGCTCGTATGAGAAATATGAGAAAACTCTTATACGAGCCTTTTCCGTAATGAGAAGTGTATAGATGCTTGTATACGAGGTGACTTTAAAAGCATTTTTCTTAATATAACACTATTTTAAAGTAAATGTAGATAATAGAAATGAATTTTCTCATCTAAAACAAAGCTAAATTTATAAGGAAAATGAAGTTTTAAGAAAAAAAGGATAATTTTATTTAATAAATTTATTCACACTGAAAAAAGGTTAGAATTTGATAATTCCTTGTTACTCTAACTAACCGACATTAGATATTTCTCGTATACGGTAAGCAGATTTTGTATTAAATTTAATTATTTTATATAAGAACATTTATATAATAAATAAATAATAATATATTATTAATTAGTAATGAAAAAACTTATTTATTCTACCGCCAATACAAAATCGTGCTTACCGCCAAGAAATATCTAATGTCGGTAAGTTAGAGTAACAAGGAATTATCAAATTCTAACCTTTTTTCAGTGTGAATAAATTTTTTGAACAAAATTATCCTTTATCTCTTAAAACTTCATTTCCTTTATAAATTTAGCTTCGTTTTACTTTGAAAATTCATTTCTATTATCTACATTTACTTTAAAATAGTGTTATATTAAGAAAAATGCTTTAAAAGTCACCTCGTATACAAGGATCTATACACTTCTCATTACGGAAAAGGCTCGTATGAGAGTTTTCTCATATTTCTCATACGAGCTACCGAGCTCGTATACGAACTCCGCGGTCCGTGTATCGAATTTTTTTTACTGGGTGGCTATTAAAAGTTTATTACACAAAATTCGCAATGGTCATAATTTGAAAAGCAATAATTCCTCTTTAAATTCTGATAAAGAAAAAAAAATTTGGTCCAAAATTATTCGAGTTATGAATTTTTTTGTAATTTTTCAAATTTTTCGGTTTTTCTAATTCGAGCGGGTGGAAACGCTGGCTATTAAAAGTTTATAAAAAAAATTTGCAATGGTCACCATTTAAAGAGCAGTAATTCCTCCCTAATTTCTGCCATTGAAAAAAAATTTTGTCGAAAATTGTTCGAGTTCTGAATTTTTTTTGACTTTTTTACATTTTTCGGTTTTTTGATAAAGCGGGTGGAAACGCTGGCTATTAAAAGTTTATAAAAAAAATTTGCAATGGTCACCATTTGAAGAGCAGTAATTTCTCCCTAATTTCTGACATTGAAAAAAAAATTTGGTCAAAAATTGTTCCAATTATGTTTTTTTTACTTTTTCACATTTTTCGGATTTTTTATACGGGCGGGTGGGAACGCTGGCTATTAAAAATTTATTTAAAAAATTCACAACGGTCAAATTTTAAAATGCAATAATCCTTCTTTAATTTGTGATAAAGGAAAAAAATTGGTAGAAAATTATTCGTATTATTTATTTATTTCTGTACATTTGTATACCAGCGGTCCTGTCGAACCGCGGGTTTTGATTTTTTTTTGACTTTTTTCGAAACCAAATATTTCGAATGAAATATTTTTCCTTGGGCAGAAATTAAATAGGGATTATTGCTCTTTAAATTGTGCCCATTACGAATTCTTTTTATAAATTTTTAATAGTCAGTATTCCCACTTCCGTTAACAGAAAACCGAAAATTCAAAAAAAGTAAAAAAAATCATAACTTGAACAATGTTTGACCAAATTTTTTTTCTTGGGCAGAATTTAAAGACGGATTAATGCTCTTCAAATTTTGATCATTTGAAATTTTTTTATAAATTTTTAATAGCCTGCGTTCCCACCCGCCTGATCAAAAAATTGAAAAATGTGAAAAAGTAAAAAAAAAATTCATAACTGGAACAATTTTTGACCAAATTTTTTTTTCTTTGTCAGAAATTAAAGAAAAAGTATTGCTTTCCAAAATGTGACCATTATGATTTTAAAAAAGAAAAATTTAATAGCCAGCGTTTCCACCCGCTTTATCAAAAAACCGAAAAATGTGAAAAAGTCAAAAAAAAAATTCATAACTCGAACAATTTTTGACCAAATTTTTTTTTCTTTATTTGAATTTAAAAAGGGATTATTGCTTTTCAAATTATGACAATTGCGAATTTTGTGTAATAAACTTTTAATATCCAGTGTTCCCATCCGCTCGTATTAGAAAAACCGGAAAATTTGAAAAATTACAAAAAAAAAATTCAAATGTCTATAAAATTCAAATCCGAGCTAATCTAGAAAAACTTAAATAGGTTGTCAAGTAGATTGACACTTTTATGTCCTGAAATTCCAAACCAATTCCGTTTTTGTCCGCAATCGTAATGAATTCCTTTTCTAGTGTTAAGTTGTTAACTTATATCCAATTCAATTATCTGTAACCACGTGACCGGAATTTGAATCCCCTTTAATGTCCTTTAAAGAATTCAAGTTAATTAAAGGGCATTAACGCTGCAACTAATGATTCCCTTAAACGGCATTAAAGTGAATTCAGATTCTTGTCACGTGGTTACAGAGACTTTAATTGGATAGAAATGAGCAACTTAACAATAGAAAATAAATTCATTAAGATTGTGGACAAAAACCGAATTAGTTTGGAATTTAAAGGCATAAAAGTGCCAATCCACTTTAATTCACTCCTTATTACTAGAACAATATCAGGGCTCGGATTGTGCGTGTTGTGGCTGGTCATTTAATATTATTATGACGACAGATAGAGTTATGGGTCCCGATGAGCGTAAGGAATGAGTGGGTTTGAAAGGTGGGGATTTTGAATGATAAGATGAAGTCGAGTATAGAAATGGCAGACGCGTGCGAAATTACTTCGCGCACAGATATGTATATTTTTGGAAGGAGAATTATTAGAGTGATTTTCTTTGTTTTAATCTTGAAATAAATAGTTTTATGTTTTCCAAGTCTTCCTCAATAGTTTTCATTCTACCCAGTCCGAGAAATAACATTTTGGCAACCGTGACAGGACGTGTGGTGAGTGATAATTAGAAAAAGAGTTTTGTGTAGTGTACCACGAGGCGTCGAGTGCTTGTGATTTCGAAAAGCAAAATGGACACTTTGAAAAGGCAACGAAAGACTCAAAGATTCACGAGGAATTATAATGCATTTATGGCAGAATTGGAGGGACGGTTCGAAGGCATCGCAGCGATCGTATATACGAACAAATGTTGCAAAAGAGATAGGTTATATAATAGAGGGTAAACAAGACGTTATTCATTCGCTTTTCGGTGGGATAAAATCGCAGTATGAAACTCATGACGTGTTCTTGATTCATATGAGAAGAAACGATGACTCATATGCATGTAATTTTACGGAAATGGATCAAGATACGATTTGCGATACAATACCGGGAGTTAAATTTGACGATTGGGTAAAAAATCTTTATGACAATAAAAATTGTTTATCCGACATTGGGACTGATAAAAGCCCTATTGATGTACTTATTGGTGCTGATGTAGCCGGTAAACTTTTTACAGGAAATAAATATGACTTACGAAATGGTTTGACTGCGTTTGAAACTAGTTTAGGGTGGACGATAATGGGAAAATTACCTAATAGTTTGAGACGAAAAGATGCTGCAATGTTCGTAAATACATTTTTTGTGAAAGAGGCTAGTCTGGCCGATTTATGACAATTAGATATAATCGGAATAACAGATCCGATTGGAAAAATTGACAAATCAATTCGCGATAAAAGAACTTAAGAATTGATAATGAATACAGTACAGTTGACAGTAGATGATCGATACGAGATCTGTTTACCTTTTAAAGAGAATCATGCGGTTGTTTCTAGTAATTATAAGATTTCACGTAATCGATTAATAAAAACAATAAAAAAACTTAAATGTCAGGATCTGTTGCAAGCATGTGCTAACGTATTTCAAGAATGGTTATCAGAGGGAGTTATTAAGGTCGTCTCGAAAACTGAAAATGAGGGCTTAAATCATTATTTACCTCATCGACCGGTAATTAAAGAGCATAGCACAACGGAGATAAGGCCGGTCTTAACTTTATGTAAAAAGGGTAGTCCTTCATTAAACCAATGTCTTGAAAAAGGCGCAAATCTAATTGAATTGATTCCTTCCGCCTTGAATGGGTTTCGTGAATACGAGATTGGTGTTGTGTTGAATGTGAAAAAAGCGTTTTTACAAATAGGAATCAATCAATCTGATCGGGATTGCCTTAGGTTTTTATGGGTCAAGGACGGACAGCTGATTACGTTTTGTCATTCTAGAGTGGTGTTCGGCTTGATATGGTGTCCCTTCTTGCTGGCAGCTGTTATCAATTTAGTCTTGAAAAGGGCATTAGAAAGAGCAAAAATTAATGACGAATCCTGTTGGTCGATTAGTACGGTGAAAAATTATAAACTGCATTTTATGTTGACAATTGCGTGACAAGTGTCGAGTCAGAACCAGAGAGAAAAATTTGAGAGAGGGCTATTATGGGAATCGGAAAATTTGATTTGCGTGGTTGGGAAAATACGGGCGATTTTACTGGGAATGAAACATCTTTAGTGTTATGTCTCTTATGGGATAAAAGAAGAGATGTTATTTAAATCAATCCTAAACTTGTGCCTGCGGAAAGTTCAGAAAATATAACAAAAAGAGCGATGTTGTCAGCATCGCATAGAATTTTTGACCCTATTACTTTCTCCTCCCCAGTGACCATGTTACCCAAATTATTATTACAAGAACTATGGTCAGAAAAAATTGATTGGGATACCGTGATCAAAGATAAACGCAGCGATTTATTTACTTCATGGTTAAAAGATCTTTCGTTATTAAAAAATATATAAATACCTCGAAAAATCGGCAAAGGAATTTTGAGCCGTCACATGTTTAGCGATGCTAGCGGTTTGGCTAATGGCTACCTCGATTGGCGCTAGATTGACGGATGCGACAAAGAAATAATTGACTCGAGAAATTAATGAGATTATTTATTGGACTGACTCTTCCAGAGTTTTAGCTTGGAAAGGGCGGGATATACATTGGGGTACATTTGTTCATAATAGAATAAAAAAAATCAGAACCCTTTCGAAAATAGAGGACTGGAAACATGTGCCTGGGGATTTAAATCCTGCGGATCTTCCGTCACGTGGCTGCTTTCCCGCACAATTATTAGAATCAATAATGGAATGGACCAAGATGGCTGTACAAACGAAGCGATTAATGGCCGGTATTTCGAAAAAAAAATTGACGAAGAAGAGATAAGATGGGAAGTGAAAAAAATGCTACAATACATATGGTAAATTTATATCAGGAATTATTTGATTTTCCTACTAGTTTCGAATCTTATACGCAACTCGTGCGTTTTATTGCGTAGGGTTTGAAATTTTTAGAAAATTGTTGGGCAAAAGTCGAAGCAAAAAAATCGAATAACCAAAGCCAAGCGACGAGTATTCAACAATTAGATAAATTTTTGTAGAAAATTCTCAATTTTCATAAGGAAATGATTTGCTTGAAAAAAATCTAAAGTTTTTTAAAAATAAAGGAAAAAATTGTTCATAAATTCTATTTGTTAATTACAAATTTTAATTGAAATTGAAACTTTTTAAATTTTTAAAAAATAAAGGAAAAAATTTTACTCAAAAAATTTTCTGTTACATTTATTTATTAATTTCTTTTAAATTATTCAAAAACATTAATAATTTCTTTTATAAATAAATATTTTATATTATTCTTTTTCCATATGAATTAAGATTTTTAAAAATTTCAAATTTAAACATTTTTGAAATTAAACAACTTATAAAAAATTGTTATAAAACATGAAGAAATCGATCACTCCAAATTGCCGCTCGGAGCATTTTCATGTTTAATAAGAGTTAAAGATGACCGAGTGATAAAATCATTATTTTATATTATAAGAAAATTGTTACAGTAGGTAACAAATCATCTACTGTAGGTAGAAATCATAAGCTTTCAAATGATATAAAATAACTTGGATATAGAGAATAATTTCCTAGATTTTTACTGATCTGAAAAAAGTGACCGCTTTAACCCTAGTCTCCTCCAATAAAAATAAAAACTTTCATCAGTTATTTCACTAACTATAGAAGTTTAGTTAAAATGTTGCTAAATATATAGTAGTTTTAACTAAATTTTTTCTAACTATACATATGTGGTTGTTTTTACCAATCGCAGTTTTTCTGTGTAGAATAAACTTCCCTGTTGAAAGTAGAAACTGTGATGTAAATTTTATTTTATTCAATAATTAAAACGAAAGAGACGAAAACACCTGTCCGTAACAACTCAGGAACCGTCACCCAAAAATTGATTTATATTTTCAATGGTCTACCGGTCGAAATTCTTATATTATTATGTAAATCACCATCGAGAGAGGAAGTAAAAGAAGAAGAGGAAGAACGAGAGAGATAGAAACAGTTGCCGCCATGAACCAGAGTTCCTAATCCCCGCTGTTTTTTTTACCGTCTACGCCATCTAAACGTCACTGCAGGCTGCATTTGTCGAGCCTCCACCTAAGCCCCCCATTTCGCATATTTACCTTAGAACCTAACCTCATTCCTTACATGCTGTTGGTTCTGTTGGAATCCTTCATACCGATCGAGAAGACTCAATGCTACTTCCAACCCATAGGTCGGAAGCCCTCTTGCTACGGCCCTGGATAGTCCACCTCGTGTCGATTTCCAGGCGACTGAAACTACAAATTGTACTTCTAACTGGTGAAATCGGCTACGGACAAACAAACTCCAGGAGGGAATAACAATTAGAGTGTCACCGAAGGTCCTAGAAAGGAATTATTCCGCAAAATTCTCATATGTGCAAAATGTGAAGATTTGCCCCCCAAACACCTCGACAAGCCGGCAGTAATACAGCAGACGACAATTCCACGTGGCAACGACGTTCCGCAAGAAGCGGTAAGAAGGAGAAAAAGTGGGGAGGACCCACGGTTAGAGCCAACGGCAAGCGACAGAATCGTTCTCTTACTCAGCGGCCTGCGTGTGGTGAAATTGCTTTCCTCTCGAGGCGATCTTGGTTTAATAGTACGAATTTCCTAGTGTTTTAAGGTATGTACTTTGATCTATTCTAACTGTGTTGACCGATACTCAGACTTGAATCGCGAGTTGGGAGAAGTCGAATTTAGTTTTTTGTTAAATTCTGGCTGGTGCCATTTAAATTTTGTATTAATCTGTATTTGTTCGATTTCCTTAACTCGGTGAATCGCTGAGACAGCTCAGAAATAATATATGTGACACGGACAGTTAAAAGGGACCTACGATCCGAAAAAAAGATTTCGAGAAAAACGACTTTGAAGTTTAGCAAGTTGATTTTGATACTTGTGAACGTTTTAATGAATTGAAACATGTTACTCGGGGGTTATTGGGGTCGCTGATTACGAATCCGATGTTAGTTTTTAAAAATTCAAAATGGCAAATCCAATATGGCGGATGACTTTTTTAAAATTGATCGGATTTGCTTGAAAATCGTTACTCGGGGGTTTTTGGGGTCGCTGATTATAAATCCGATGTTAGTTTTTAAAATTTCGAAATGGCGGATCCAATATGGCGGATGACTTTTTTAAAAATTGATCGGATTCGCTTGAAAATCGTTACTCGGGGGTTTTTGGGGTCGCTGATTACGAATCCGATGTTACTTTTTAAAAATTCAAAATAGCGGATACAATATGGCGGATGACTTTTTTAAAAATTGATCGGATCTGCTTGAAAATCGTTATTTGGTGGTTTTTGGGGTCGCTGATTATAAATCCGATGTTCGTTTTTCAAAATTCAAAATGTCGGTTCCAATATGTAGGACAAAATTTAAAATTTGTTCGAATTCGTGTGAAACTAAAAAATTTCGTTGACACCGAAAACGAGGTCACTGATTAAGAATCCGATTTTCTTTTTCCGAAATTCAAAATGTCGGATTCAATATAGTGGACGTAGTTAAAAAAAATGTTTGGATTCTCATATTAATTTATACTTAAAGAGTACTTTGGGGTAGATGATTAGGAAACAGATGGGTTTCTAGATCTCTATGTAAATTAGTATTTATTTGTATTAATGATGTGTTTAATTGTTGTTACCAATGTCATAGTTATTTTATTCCAAACATTTTTCTTAATGCAGTAGCTTCAAAGGATGCCTTTATTAATTTATTATGTAACAAACACCATCGGTGGTGGGACAAAGTTAACATTTTGTCATTAGTGTCAGAACTTTTATTTACTGCGCGTAAATAAAAGAAAAGAGTTTGGTTACCGTGTCAAAGCAAAGAAAAACTCATATATCAGATACAAAAATTAAATCCACGAAAAAAATATTAAAGAAGCAGAATTAATTTTAAAGAACAAAGTTTTTAAACATTCTAAATTTGTGAATTTTTTAAGTTTATAATCTTTTAAATGCTTAATCTTAAGTTCTTTATCGTGTTTTTCTTTGTCTCACGTCTTTTTATTTATTGTGTTCTTCATTAAAGTAAATTTGTAAAATAAATAAAGTTATGAATATTCTGTTTGCTCATTTAAAAGACCATATACATATTTGTATTAAAACCATACATTTAAAAATTCTGAAAAGCAAATCCCTATAATTTGTAAATAACTCGTCCGCCATATTGGATCCACCATTTTAAATTTTTAAAAACTAACATCGGATTCGTAATCAGCAACTCCAAAAACCCCCGAGTAAGGAATTTCAAGCAAATCCGATCAATTTTTAAAAAAGTCATCCGCCATATTGGATCCGCCATTTTGAATTTTTAAAAACTAACATCGGATTCGTAATCAGCGACCCCAAAAACCCCGAGTAACGATTTTCAAGCGAATCCGATCAATTTTTAAAAAAGCCATCCGCCATATTGGATCCGCCATTTCAAAATTTTAAAAACTAACATCGGATTTATAATCAGCGACCCCAAAAACCCCGAGTAACGATTTTCAAGCGAATCCGATCAATTTTTAAAAAAGTCATCCGCTATATTTGATCCGCCATTTTGAATTTTCGAAAACTAACAACTGATTCGTAATCAGCGACACCAAAAACCCCCGAGTAACGATTTTCAAGCGAATCCGATCAAGTTTTAAAAAAGTCATCCGCCATATTTGATCTGCTATTTTGAATTTTCAAAAACTAACAACGGATTCGTAATCAACGACCCCGAAAACCCCCGAGTAACGAGTTTCAAGTTAATTTATAATCTTCCAAGTCAAAATCAAAACGAATCGCACCAACCTGATCACCCTCATGCCTCGAATTCTAATAACCTACCCTCTAACCCATCACGACCTGTTCCCGTTTATTTCGACAGACCCGCGTCACCCGAATCAATCAGGTCAGAGCAATATAGAGTTCGATTTAATTTCAACGATCAACCCAGATTCCCTTCACAAAATCGATTTCAAAATTACCCTTTGTATAATTCTCAGAACTATTCGA